TCAGAATGTATCGTTCTGTTTGGGAAGCAGATGGAAACATGTAGCATGAAGCATATGTGTACGCACACTACATACGTGGATTTTATTTTGAAATCAGAAGTTTCAGAAAGCCGTCAAAAGCCGTGTAATTAAGTATGTTGACACACACAAGGATTTTGTTTCCGGCTGTTTGTGTCTCTCTCTAGTATTAACAATATACAGATACTTTACATATAATTTACACATAGTACACAATATACAGAAAGATACACATTATACTTCACTATACCAGGATATATCTGTGCGGTGTGCTTTACAATGTTATTCACAAAGTTCAAATTAAAATATAGTTGTATCTGCAACTGTATTTGATAACGTTTTGAACTTTTAAAATATTGCATGGTAAAAACAGAAGCTGCTATATTAGTGACAAAATTAGGTGTTTTTTGACAAGCTACTTCCATTTTTGCTTCTACTTTTAATTTAAAATAAGTTTCCATTCTCTGCAGGTTTCTAAGGTTCTTCTACATATTAAAAAAGTTGTTAAACATCTGAGTGGCGCACTACTGCTACTAGTGGTGAGAAAGTGTATTGCACCTTATTCAAAATCAATGCGGTCCCACGACCCTCTGCGGCCCAAAGTTAAAAACTGTTCTTCTTTTGAGGCCCTCAAGGTGGCGCTCGGGCCGCGGCCCATGGATTAAGAATCTCTGGTATAGAATATATGATCTAGCTGATGGATGTCTGATGATCAGCTGTTGATGATTGTGATGGTCTGGGGGAAGAAACTGTTCTTGTCTGACTGTCTTAGTGGACAGAGTTCTGTAGCCTCTGCCAGATGGGAGGAGTTGGAACACGTTGTGACCCGGGTGAGTGGAGTCTGTGATGATTTTCTCAGCCCTTTTCCTGGTTCTTGCACGATACAAGTCCTGAATGGAGAGCAGTGAGGCCCCGATGACCTTCTCAGCCGTCCTCACTGTTCGCTGAAGCCTGTTCCTGTCCTGCCTTGTGGCTGCTCCAAACCAGACTGTGATGGATGTGCACAGGATGGACTCAATGACTGCAGTGTAGAACTGGATCAGCAGCTCCTGAGGTAGGTCCAAGTTCCTCAGCTGGCGTAGGAAGTACAGTCTCTGCTGGGCCTTTTTGAGGATGGAGGACATGTTGGGCTCCCACTTCAGGTCATGTGAGATGGTGGTTCCCTGGAACCTGAAAGACTACCGTAGACACGGGGCTGTTGAAGATTGTGAGGGGCAGCAGTGCTGGGGGATGTCACCTGAAGTCCACTCTCATCTCTACAGTCTTGAGCGTGTTCAGCTCCAGGTTGTTCCTGCTGCACCAGGACATCAGTCGTTCCACCTCCTGTCGGTATGCAGACTTGTTGTCGTCATGGATGAGTCCACTGTCTGTAGTGTCACCTGCGAACTTCAGGAGTTTAACAGAGTCGGGTCATTAGAGGTGCAGTCATTGGTGTAAAGAGAGAAGAGCAGTGGAGTAGGAATGTGCGATATGGCAAAAAATTCATATCACGATATACATTGTGATGAGTGGCGGTAACAATATATATCACGACATAAAACGTATAATAGAAAATAAATAAATCACACATTAGTTGAATGGAATAAATATGTATAGGTAAAAAATTTAGACCTTAAAATCTCCTTTTTTAAGGGACATTTTAAWGTCTCCCATAAAAATCTAAAGTTAAGGGAGATCTACCTGGTTTAATCATATATATACTGCACACACACACACACACACACACACACACACACACACACACACACACACACACACACACACACACACACACACACAATAACTTTAATGTAATAGATATCTGCATCCATTGGATGTTGTGTTTGGAATAACCTGCTTTGTTTTAAGGTGGTAAAACAAATTGCTTGTATTTATTCCTTTCTGCACACTTTGTAGATTATTTTTTCTGTACTCCACCTGTTTAATCTGTGCGCGCTCCGGCGGGGTGACGATCATTATAGTCGCACTTTGGAGTGCGCGCGCATTCGGCAGTGCGTCATCGCACTATGACCGTTGGAGAAACGTGGTCCAGACTGATTTTTGTGTGTCCCACCTGAGCACTGACCTCACCTGCACTGACAGTCGCCTCGTTGCATAGAAATGAATGGAGAGCGAGCGACGTCGCCTCCCGTGTGTCGAACCCTTCACACATGCCGCGGCGCACGCTCCTCCCGCAGCAGGCAGTGTGGTCGGTCGGCCGGAGGACGCGCCGTCACGTAAATATGTAAACAGTTCGGCGTTCATTTTCACACGTCCGAATCAGGTCTGGATAAGTTTTTTCCCCCTCCTCATTTGCGCTCTCAGCCATGCTGCTTCCCGTTTCCTCTGTTTTGACTCCAGCCGGTTACATCATCAAAAAGAATTGCGCGGTTGGCCGGTAGACTACAGATCTCTATCATAGGACAAATTTATATAATTTCTACCGTATATCGTTTATATCGTGCATTCCTACAGTGGAGAGAGCACACATCCCTGAGGGGTAGCAATCCTGATGGTCTGTGAGGAGGACATGATATTCCCCAGCTGCACCTGCTGCGTCCTTCCTGTCAGGAAGCTGGTGATCCACTGACACATGGCACGAGAAACAGTGAGCTGGGAGAGTTTTGTGGAGAGAATATCTGGGACGATTGTGTCAAACGCCAAACTGAAATCAAGAAACAGGATTCTTGCATAAGTCCCCGGATGATCGAGATGTTGCAGGATGAAATGCAGTCCCATGTTTACTGCATCTTCCACTGACCTACTTGCCCGAAAGGCAAACTGCAGGTGGTCTAGCAGATTATCAGAGTGCTCTTTTATCTGAAATTTTAGATGCAGGCCGATATAATCCTATAATTGTTTTTTTAGCTGATATTGAACTGATATCAGATATTAATATCGGATCGGGACACCCCTCATTTACAGGTATGAGTCAGAGAGGTATGGGAAAAAAAAACTCTGATGCTGCTGTCACTTAATCTGAGAGCTGCAGGAGTCACATAATGGCTTGGTTGTGTTGTGTTGTGTTGTGTTGTGTTGTGTTGTGTTGTGTTTTGTTATGAATACCCTCTTATTAGGGTTTTAAGTTTCAAAATAATCTGACTGGTTGTATCCATGCTGCTGCATATTGTTAGCTGGTCTTTGTACCAATAAAATTTGTAGGTATTTACCAGAGGTATTTCCTCATCTATGGGAAAAAAACAAAACAAAAGTTTCCATCTGAAAGCAGTCCAGCTGTGGTTTGACTTAAGAAACCTGTGGGCCACATCTGGGTGGTCTCCAAAGCTGTCACCACTGCACCGGCTCTGTGTATATATATATATATATATATATATTTTATTTAACCTCCTCTACTTTTCTTCTGAATGAGCAGAGGTGGTCAGAACACGTGTCAGTAGCATCATGTCCCAGTTTGTTAGCAGTTTTGTGGAAATTGTCAAGAAATTTGTTGCGTCATCCTATCATGACTAATTGTGTTATCATGTCAGTACCACAGTATACCAAAATAATGTTATACAGCCCAAGCCTTCATTACTCATTAAAAACTCACCTAAATTTCTTTTTTTTTAAAGTGACATCCTACATAAATTCCCTGACTCTGTTTGTCATCTGCTTATTGATGAGCTTCACTGAGAGAGGGATGATTCCTGTAATAAATGTTGTTTTTACATAAAGGAAGTGCAGAATATGAGTGGTTTCAGACACAACAGTCTGCTCCAGTCATGCACCCATGCTTCTACCTGTTGATTGTCTGTGTCTTGTTTTAAATTGAAAAGCCTTTGCTGCTTTTACATTTTAACATGTTATATAAGTAGCTGGGATAGAGGAAGGTAACATTAAAATAAGTTAAAGTTGTTCAGGTGGGTTGCTCTGTTTTATCCTTCATTCTTCTGTCCGTGTGATTTAAAGATTTATCTCGTCTGTTTGTTGACAGCTGTTTTGTTCCAAGTTGTATGTTTTTAATTTGTTAAACTCCTGACTAAGCTGAGGTGAAATGTTACCGTGACTCTGCAGAGTCTGGAGTGTTATTAATGCTGTCCGTCTCCGCTGCAGGACGCTCCAACCCGTCCCTGCGCTGCGTCCTGATGGCCCTGACTCGATCCCCTCAGCAGGACTCCATCCACCTGCCAACCTGCTCCTGCTCACCCGTGCAGACTTTCACCGCCGGCTCGTCCTGTAAGTTGCTCACCAAGAACTCTGTCTTCAAGAGTCCGGATGGGAACGGGACCCTGGTCTGTGCCGGGGATGAGGCGTCCAACTCCGCCATGGTAATACCTTGGTCTGAGTGCGAGCAAATCAGTTGTAGAATTTCTCTCTGGGTTTTACTGGAGGTTGTAAGTAAATGTTCTGGTTTCTCACGGTTTGTCTCCTCCTGTCACCGTGTCCCTCCTCCTCCTCCTCCTCCTCCTCCTCAGGTGTGGGACGCCAGCAGTGGCTCCCTGCTGCAGAAGCTTTCAGCTGACCTCCCGGTGTTGGACATCAGCCCCTTATCTGTGAACAACGAGCACTTCCTGGCCTCTCTGACAGAGAAGATGCTGAAGCTCTACAGGTGGGAATGAGCCCGGTGGTCTCAGGGTGTTCTGTGAGAATTTGCTCGCTGCTAAACAGAGATTATTGTGATGCGGGGTTTACCACGGCGTGAAATCTCAGGATGACCTCTGCTCCTCAAGCTGAGCAGAAACATCTAAGGGAGCGCTCAGTCCTGCCACAACTAGACTGAAAGTTCAGCTTCTAGAAATCATGGTTCTGGTTTCTGCAGCTTTCTGCATCACACTGAAACATATTAAAACTGCTGAGTCGTTTGTTCCTCCTTTCATGACTCAGAGACTTTTAAAATGTTGGGATGTTTTGGAAACCTGGTGTAGGCTCACCAATAAATCCATCGTTACTCCAGTTGTTTGAGGGCTGACTTAACTTTTTAAAACTTGTGAGATCTCCACTGAAATGATGTTTTCACTCTGAATCATCTGTTTTGGATTTTTTATTTTTCTCCCCCATCCAGGTGGAAGTCAAATGTGTTGATGGAAATGTAATATTTTTTTAACAAAGTTGTAAATATGTATATTTGTTACCAACTGTTTGTGTACAACCTCAGCTTTAATAAAAATGGAGTTATTGTTTAATTGTAGTGTTTCGTGATGATTTTGCTCAGTTTGTTCAGTTTTTTTCATATTGTTTCTGAAATCAGTATTGAGCTGTATCATGTTGAAATAAGCACATTCACCTGTTACTTAATCAACTTTAAACTTGAACTGATCAGTGAACAGCTGCTAGAATCTTCAGGACAAGCCTGAGCTGCTCCATGCAGAAAAGAACATTAATATTTATAGTTTTAATTTAGTGAAGAGAGGCAGGGAAAAGGTTGCCAAGAAACCTGAAGTTAAATTCCTTCTAAAAAGTAGACAATCCTGGGGAGTAAAATAAATGTTTCACCAGGTTTCTCCATTAGAACTAAGTCAGGTTTTACCTGGAGATCAAATAATTGTATCCATCAGTTATTCCTTTTTTGCTGGGTCCTTCCATGTGAAATCACCCAATGGGTTTAATTAAACTTGACATTTGTTCACCGTGTGATCCCACAGCACAGTATCTTTAATTTGAGGTCAATCAGACCAGTGCTTCCACAGATAAGGGTCCCGAAATTTATGTTTTTTGGCAAAAATGGTCGTGTCTTCCTGTTTTCAACCCGAGGAGCTACTGGGTCGATTTTGACAGACTTGGTATCTTTTTCTATTTTTCTTTTTTTCTTTTAATTTTTTTTATCACTTCAGTAGAAAAAAGAACTTAACTAACTAACCATTTTTGTATGTCCAGATACCCCTTTTTCAGATAAATTGGGGGTCCAGGAGGGTGGGGGCACTGATTGGTGGGCCTGATGGATAGAGCTTCATCAGAGCTAAACAWCAAAAGAAATCTGAAGCTRCTATGTTGAACAGTTTCTGAGTTATAASKATTTTTGRAWGTCCAGARACCCCTTTTTCAGWRAAATTGGGGGTCCYGGAGGGTGGGGGCACTGATTGGTGGGCCTGATGGATAGAGCTTCATCAGAGCTAAACAWCAAAAGAAATCTGAAGCTRCTATGTTGAACAMTTTCTGAGTTATAAGCATTTTTGCATGTCCAGACACCCCCTCTTTTTTCTCAATCACTTCAGTAGAAAAAGAACTTATTAGTTTCTTAATTTCTTCATCATCAGTGATTTTTTTAAGTAAAGAGAAAATGTAATTAGAAATATTGAAATAGATTAGAAATATATTAAATATACACCAAGCAAAAACAAGGCCACACACCTGACATCTGTACGCTCACCTAAACATAAATGGATGGCATGCTTGGTATCATTGGAAATGGAATTTGATAAAGGTTCCAAATCTGTCTTTACTTTTTTGATATCTTCACTTCAGAAACAAAACTATGTATTTCTTTTGTATAAGGCCTTGGATGAGTTTGATGATGACATTTTAGAAGAAATGTCAGATGTGTTGTGAGATGAAGATAATTTGCATTTATTTGTTCAGCACATTATTGATAGGCACATCATTTTTGAAAAAGTTTAATCAAAATCTGTCTGGTTAAAATATCCTCTTTTCAGGTGATTTGAAATGTAATGACCCTGCTGATATGATAAGTCGTTTGGGATTTTGCTTGCTGTTTGCTGCTTTACTGCCTTGAGTTTGACACGTGTGCCATAGACTACGTGTGCCATAGACTATAAATAAGTAGAAAGAAATAAGTAGACCTCAGACCAGCTGCCGGAGCAGGACCAGCATCCAATGACTCAAACACTGCACGTACAACCTGAGACACAGCAGAGCGGACAGTATCATCACACATAAGACTCGATTTCTGGAAAGCTTCTTCCCTTCCACAGTCAGACTGATGGCAGCGAGGAGTTACTGAATGTCTTGCCTCATGTCCCACCGGTGCAAAATAATTTATTTATCTATCCCTAAGAAATGTGAAATACTGCTAGGTTGCATACAGGTCCTACATTTGACGCACTGATTGTACTATTGTGCTGCTATTGTGCCACACCCTCTACTGTGCTGAAATTTATCTTTTAATTTTTTTATTCTTTTTTACTGTGCTTATGCATAAATATATAACTTTTTTCCTTTTTTATCATTCTTATATTGTTTTCTTAGACCTTGTAATGTTTTTTCTATCATTACTGTTCTATCACTGACTATGAGATGCCCGCACAAGAATTCCAATGTGTGTAAACTGCTAGTATATGCACAAATGGCAAATAAAGATCTGTCTGTCTGTCTGTCTGTCTGTCTGGCTGGCTGGCTGGCTGGCTGGCCGTCCGTCCGTCCGTCCGTCCCTCCCAGCTGGTTCCAGGACAAGCTTTAAGTCCCACCCTCTCCATGAAAATGAACAGGACATTATCCTGGTTAGAAACTGAAAGCACACCTTACATATTTGTTTAGGTGTTGACTCTAGTTTCTTGTTGCTCCTGTTCAAATATTCTTTTAGTTTATTGAGCTATAAATGGTTGTTTCATGCTTAAAGGTCATGTGGCACCATGATTGCCTGAGGGTGTAGTTGGAGTTTGAAACGCCACTTCTGTAGAGCTCAGAATCTGGTTTCTAAAATACAACAGGCAGCTTCTGCTGGCTTCAGATCCTAATGAGAGAGGGACAAAGAAATGTTAGGTTTGTTATAATGTTAAGATGTCTGTGTTGCAGCTATAAACGTCTTGCTTAATTGTCCTCAATGGAACAACTACCAACCCAATGTTATGTTTCGTCTGGTTTCATGTTTTTATTTTTACTTTATTCTGATTTTTCTGTCATGTTCCTCTGTTCTATTTCACCCCTAGCACTGAATGATCACTCTTGCGCATGCTCAGGTTGAGAATCTTATACCAACATGGTCACGTGTGACACCCGGTGACACCGATAAGTCTATATAATCACGTGACAATGCCAGCTCAGTCCCTTTTCATCTTCTCGCATGCAGGTTGAATAGGTGGTAAGACTTTGATTGTTGCTTGTCGCTGGTAGCCTCGAGACTACGGTCAGAGCTGTGAGGATTTTCTCGCCCTCTAGAGCAGTGTTTCCCAAAGTTGGGGTTGGGACCCAAAGTGGGGTCCCGAAACATCAAGGTGGGGTCCTGAAAAGATTTTAGGAATTAATTATATTTTTGCCTTATTTGTTACAAAGGAGTGAGGTTAGTATATTTAAAATGGATAAATGTAGTATAAAAATATTGTTACTATGCCCATGTTTTGTTGACCTGATACAAAATCATCCAAAAATTGTTGTGGGCACAGGTCTCTGCTACTGTTATTTTGTGGGTCAAAAACTGAAAAGTTTGTGAACCACTGCACTTTGGTTCCCAAAGTTGGGCTTGGGACCCAATTATGGGTCACGAAGCACCTTGGATAATCTCCAGAAATCAATTTAAAGGGTAATAAAATAATTGCTGCTGTAATATTTTGCCTATGACTATTACAAAAACACAAATAAGTATAAATAAGTATTTATATTTGTGTATAAGCTGTTTAGATTGTCAAAAAGTCTGTGTTTTTAGGGTTATTAATGAAGTTCGTGCACTCAGACCAGTAATATTTGGGGTCACAAGGTTTTGCCATGGATATTTTGTGGGTCAGAAGATAAAAAGTTTGGGAACCACTGCTCTAGAGGCTGCGCAAGCTCCTCATTGTTACAACTTTGTTCTTCGATTGGTAAGTTATTTTCTCTTTTAGTCAAGGGGTGCGGTGGCGTCCGCTTTCCGCGTCGATTTTTCTGTTGCCGGGGGTACGGCGTTAGCCAACTCCGTCCGGTTGTTGATTAGCCGTATCGGCTTGTATTGTGGCAGCCGCGTTCGGATTGCCTTTAATTGATTGTATTGCAGCCGTTTTCGGGATTGCTTTTTCTTTATATTGTGCGCCGTTTGCTTGTCTTGTCTTGTTAGCATAGCCGTTTCGGCTTGTTTTTTTTTTTGTTAACGTTGTGCAGCCGTGTTCGGCTTGCCTATATTTTGTCTAATTGCAGCCGTTTTCGGGCTTGCTTATTGTTTACGTTGTGCAGCCGTGTTCGGCTTGCCTATATTTTGTCTAATTGCAGCCGTTTTCGGGCTTGCTTATTGTTTACGTTGTGCAGCCGTGTTCGGCTTGCTTCATACGATATTGCAACTGTGCTACGGTGAACCCCTGGTGGCATTTTCTGCTCGACCGGGTCCCTGGTTCATTAGGCTAAGTGTCAAGAGTGGCGATTTCAGCTCGACCTGACCTTGTCTTGTGAGCGTAAGATGCTGGACATGCCGGGCTGCAGAGTCTGTTTGGCCCCTCTCCAATTGGAGGATGGGCATGATCTGTGTCCTTCTTGTTTGGGCCTAGATCACCTAAAGGAGGCCTTAACTGATGTGGCCTGCCCTAATTGTTCTGCTCTGCCCTTGTCCCTGCGTACCGCTCGTTTGGCTGACCTTCAAGGTGCCAACCGACCTGTGAAGCGTATGGCTCCTGAGGCTATGCAGCCTCCACGTAAGAGGACCAAGAAGAGCTCCAGGGATTCAGAAGGCCTACCTGGGCAGGTGGCCCATCTTACGTCCGAGTTGGAACAGATGAAAGCACTGCTCGAGTCCCTTAGAGACAGCGGTGGCTCTGGTCTGACTGGAGACCCGGACCTAGGGCGGAGCATGGGTTCAGGGCTCTCCGTTTTAGACGGTGATGCTGTATCCCTTGCAGCGTCTGGTACTGATTTTCAAGATCCGTTTGAATCTGGCTCGCATATGTCAACAGCCAGTTCGCATCTCTCATCCTGTTCTCAGTCGGAAGAGGATGATTCGATAGTGGGCACTTTGAGAACTGCGTTTGCTCAGCTGCAGCTGGATGCTCCACAGAGCCAGCCTGATGCTTCCAGTGCTTTCTTTCGGCGTCCCACTACTAGGTTGTCCTTTATAGTTCCCCCATCTGCCGACTATGTGAAGGAGGTTCATGCCTGTTGGGCAGATACTAAGGCCTTTTCACGACCGACCTCTGATGGCAGGACTCTGGCGGCCATGCAGGATGCGCCCAAGTTTGGCTTGGGTCATATGCCTTCTGTCGAKCCTGCCATAGCATCCCTCATTGTGGCTCCAGATGAGGTTCTGAGAGCTAATGCGAGGTGTCCTCGTCCT